ATGATAACATTAATGATAATTTGTATACAAGAATTATACTCTCTAAATTTGTTCTAAACTGTTTTCTACAGGCACAAAAGATTTTAATCTTAAAGAGCAAATTTGATGTGAACAATAAATTCTGAATGGCTCAAGAGCATCTGAAGATTAGAAGAATCTGAAGTATAAGAGCTTAGTCATCAAGATTCTGAAGATACAACACGCTGCATATATTATCAAGAATCTGAATGAAAGAAGACTCTGAGTGAAGAGACTCTGAATGAGAGAAGACTCTGATCTGAGTGAAGACTCTGATCTAAGAGCATGTTACGCTTCAAGCACACAGCTGCACCAGACTCTGATTCAGCAACATCTGAAGAACATCTTAGGCTCTGAAGTTTCCAGAAGATTCTGAAGACTGAAGACTCTGATATTGATTGTTGATCTGAACTATCTGAAGAATTATTTGAAGAAGATTATTTTAATATATCCGTTGGAATATGCCAGCAAATCTTTCCTTAATTGGGATAGACATAAATCTCTGCAAGAATATTATTCCTCTGATACATTCCATATATGGTAAATTCACAGCTCAGCAGACAATTGCTACACCCACATTTTGTGCGCCGTCTCTCTGCTGCAATAGTACAAAGGACAGTACTATTTGATATTGGAAATATCTTCTCCAACGGTATTATATTCTCTTCAATATTCAAGTGGCTATATAAAGGATATCATAGCACTTTCTTCAGCAAGAGAAGACGAATTTTGACAAACTTATTCTCAAGCGAAGAAACTCTCAAGCTCTCATATTCTTTATAGTTCATACTTTGTTCTAAACTTAGAGAAATAACACAGTTGTGTTTATAGCTTTCATAGAAGCAATTTATTACTCTTACATTGTATTACATTAATTTGTAAAGGAAGTTTTCCTTAAGAGGATCTAGGTTAGATCAGTAGCTCTTGAGAAGACTAAGAACAGTTGTTCTTAGGTGTTGCTATTTGTAATCAGTTGATTTGAATAGTGGATTAAGTCCTTGTTGAGAAAGGCAAATCACTCTTGAAAAGGGTGGACTGGAGTAGTTGAGTTCAACGAACCAGGATAAAAATACTTGAGTTTTTATCTTTGATTATTTTCTGTCATACTTATTCAACCCCCCTTCTAAGTATTTTCTCACCTTCAGTTCCTACATCACCTATATATTCATGCAAGCTGATTCATGCAAGGGTTGGTGCTCCCATTTGTCCAAAATCTCCATTTTCATCCATTTTCTCATTCTTGCATAAGCTACTCAAACTCTTACAAATCTCTCAAAACTCTCACATCTTTGGCTTGAATCTTCATCATCATCATTCAAACCCTAGGATTCACATCAAGAAGTGGTTGAATTGATCAAGGATTATACCAATTATCTTCTTCACTCCAAGTTGCATTTTCTTCAAAAATCCATTAAAACTTCCTCCACCATTCTGATTTCTGTCACCATCATCATCCACAATCATCATGGAGTAATTGGCACAAGAGATTGGAGAGAATTCGTGGCTGTGTGAAGAGATTCAAGTTGAAACTCCAACTTGCATGAAGGATGGAATAGACTGATTCACAAGGATTAAGCACAAATCATTGCAAACAGAAGCATACTCATTCATTGGAGATCATTTTCAGCAAGTGTCAAAGGTTGAATTGAAGTCTAACTACCATCACCATCACCAAGTGCAAGGTATGTAAATTTCTTCGAATCTCACTATTCTGGCTGGTAGAGATCATGTGGTTAGGATAATATTGTTTAGAAACCCTAGGGGAGTGATTCTTGAAGTTTAGGGATAGCTTCGTGGAGATCCATGACAGGTTGCCATTTCTGTTAGCTTCAAGAACAAGCTGTGTACTGGACCATAATTGATATAATGATGCATAGAATAATGAGGGAAGTATGTAAATGATCTGTGGATCATCAGGTTGGAGTTCTGGCAAAATTGACAACAGGCAAGCATGGTGTACCCTGAGTTTCGTGCCCTCTGTTTGGAGTTTACAAGGAGAGTTAGAGAAAAATAGGATTAGGCATGGATTCCTTGGGTTTTATAGAGTATTTTAGGGCTTGGAATTTTTCATTTTCATCAAGAAATCATGGAGAAAGATTGAATGGAATTTTCATGCATGGAGTTCGTGACTGAAACCCTAGACGAATGGAGGAAGAAGACGACTCATACGCCCTTGGATCTGGTGGGGAAGATTGACTTGACCATGAATCGAACGGCCCACATTTAACCTGAGTTTTGGTGGGAGATTTCAAAAATTGAAACGCATCGTTTCATTAATTGGGGGGATTGGGCTCAGACAGCTATTCGCACCCCCCCAATTTAATAAGCCCAACGTGCTGAACTAGGATATCTTGCTATTCTTACCCCCTGGCTATTTCTTTCTATTTTCTTTATTATTTTCTTTTCATTTTTTCATTCATTTTAAAAAATTCATAACAAATAGAAAAATCATCATTTTTAATTCATTCTTTTTGCATATTTTTCTTTAAGATGTCTAGAAAATTATAAAAAATAAAAATGGCATTTTATTTTTTATTTGATATTTTTCCCATATTTTCTAAATAAATGACATTTTAAATGGTTTCATTTCATACATGATTTTGTTAATTTTTGTTATATTAGATACTTTCATATTTTTCATCCATTCTTTTTAGGTTGTTTAGGTTAGACATTGAACATGTAGATTCAATTTAGTTCCCATTTTTTAGAAATTAAATTTAGGTGCTTAGTGTAAGTATGAATAACATGAATAAAACTAGGGTTTTAGGGGATGACTTAGGGGATTTGATTCCTTCCCCTTAGGACTTAGGGCTTGACTAGTTTAGTTATGGGACTATAGGGGCTATGGGTAGTTATTAGACCCCTTAGAAAAAGTCAGGATTCCCCTACTGCTATTGATATACTATATCTCTGACTGACTGGTGTGGTGTGCCCTCTGGGGATTATTGCTTGCTTGTGTGGGTATTGGGATTGTCTGGGGACTTGGGAGAGCTGAAGATTTGGGGAGATGAAGGCCATTGGAGATCCAGAGATTGAAGAGCAACTGCCAGAGTTGGAGAGGAGGTTCTTGCTAGCAGCTGCTGAGGAGACTAGGGTTTAGGAGCTAGGCAGAGCTCTAGATTAGAAAGCTTGTTTCTCAAACATGGAATGCCTTGTCTGCATCCATCCTTTCTCTATGATTCAAAGTCTCTTTCAAATATCCACCTCCTTCCTTTGGAAGGATCAGTGAATGTATTTGGAAGATAGAACTTTTGAGAGAAACCTGTCTGTATAATGTTAACAGTTAATGAGCCACCCTTGGTAGGCAATTTGCTGTTTAACATTCCTCTCCTCTTGTTGACTGATGTTCATCCCTGAAGATTGGAGACTTGAAGAAAAGCCATTGCTTATAGAAGACTGATGATCAAAGCCCTTGCCTGAAGGCCATGAAGATGGAGATTGATGCTTGTTGAAGCCTGTAGCTGATTGGAGATTACTTGAAGCCAGATGTTGATTCAGAGCTGCTGAGGCTGTTTGTTTTGCTGTTGTATTTCATTGCTGATGTATTGTTTGGATTTCCTGGTTGTATTGTTTGCTATTTACCCTGTTGGGTTGAAAGTGAAGCCTGTTCGCTTTCGCCTATTGTTTTCTAGGTTCGAGGTTGAGTGGGACTCCCTTGCCTCGCTTGTACTGTTGCATCCATGCATTTTTACGGCTTTATTATATCTGTTATTGTTTTTGTTTCTGCCTATCCCGTAGGATCTCTGTTTCTCTCTGTGCAAGATAGGAGCATGATAGACACTAGGTCTTAACCCATGCATGATAACATTAGGTTAGTTTGTTTCCCTTCGCAACCATAGGTTAGAGTTCTGTCTCTTCTTCCTCAAAACAAACAGAAAAACACATAAAGATTTCAAACACAATAAAAGACACTTCTTCCGTAAAAGAATGTGAACTCATCAAGACGTCATTTTTGTCCGCTGGGACTGTTAATCAGAAAAACCCTTTTTCAGAAGGTATAAAATCAATCAAGACAAGCTTGTGTCGTACGTGGCCCGAACTACGTTTGCTCTGATCTTCCATGCTGTGTGGAAGTACGTAGGTATAGGATGCGATATCCTAGCGAGCAACCTTCCCCTCCTTTCCCGTAGGCAGGCGAACTACGTTGACTCTGATTTCTCGTTCCAGACGGGAATACGTAGGCATAAAGTGCGATACTTTGCCGAGTCATTTTATTTTCATCTTATTTTCTTTTTAACCCCTGACCTATAGTTTAGATAGAATAACAATCCATACCCGAAAACAAGCGTGGATCCCGTCGAGTACGACGGATGTGAGGGGTGCTAATACCTTCCCCTTGCGTAACCGACTCCCGAACCCAGGTTTTGGTTGCGATGGCCATACCTTTCCCGTGTTGTGCAAGGTTTACTCTGAGCGTTTCCTTTCCCTCCCGTGGGATAAATAACGCACGGTGGCGACTCTTCTGTTCAGCCGGCGCCGATTTTCGCAGTAGCGACAGGGTGCAGCAGCATGAACTTTTTGTAGCAAGGCTAAAAGGATCATTTTGTGTAAGCTGTGAAGTTGCAGTTTATTGTGCTGCAGAACTCTGTTAGTTTTTTTGTGTGCCGGCTTTGTCGTGACTTCACTTACGAATTCCCTATGTTTTGGCAGGCCGTGTTCATCGTGAGCAGAAGATACGCAGGACATATATGCTGAAATGACCGATGAACTGGAACCTGTATACTGCTGTCAGAAGAAGATGTCAACAAGGAACTGCAGTGATGGTGTTTCTTGGCTTTGATTGTGTTTGAATTATGCAGGTTGTTTTGTAGATACAGGGTGGTGATGCCTGAAAGTGAGCTGTTGTCGCACAACCTTGTTTGTCGTAAAATGTAGGTATATTTATTCCTTGTGATAATCACGAGTGATGATGACAGTTTCATTTGGTTGCAGGATACTTTGAGAGCCGGAGTGGGTAACATTCAGAGAATTGAACACGTGTGCTATAACATCAAGGCATTGCTCTCATCAACACTATCCTTCTCAGTAAAACTATTATCAATGTGAGGATGTCTCTTTGCAGCACCCTTAGTCACTCCAAAATCAGTAGCAGATGAAGAAGCAGAAGTAGAATTTGTGTTCAAACCATCATTCTGTAATATGGTTTCTAGCGCTTTCACAACTTCACTCATTGTTGGTCGGTCTGAAGCTGATTCCTCGGCGCATTGAATTGCCAACTCTAAGTACCTGCCAAATCCTGTCTGGTTGGCAGTGTTTCTCACCAATGGATCCATTACTTCGATTAAACCATGGTACTCTTCATCTCTATTATTCATTAAGGTTTGAACCTCGCAAACGATGTACTTACCCTTTTCGAGAGGTTGCTTGGATGTTATCAGTTCAAGCATAACTGCACCGAAACTGTATACGTCACTCTTTTAGGTTAGTTGTTGAGTCATGTAATGTTCAGGATCTAGATAGCCCAATGTTCCTTTAACCTGAGTTGAGACATGGCTTTTGTCACTGTCTGATACGAGCTTAGACAGGCCAAAATCCGCAACCTTTGCAATCATATTTCATCTAGCAAGATATTGGTTGACTCCACATCTCTATGGATTATGGGATCGACCAAAGTCGTTTCTATTTACGGACTAATCTGCTTTACCAGTAGGGGATCCCCACTTAGACCAGGAGTTAACTGGAGATCCAACAGCCGAGACAGGATTGTTAGCACCAAGTTCTCTTGAACTGAGGTTTCGCATGTGTTGTCGTGATCAATCATGCCTTCGAGGCTGTACCGCGATGCAACTGCTGTTGTAAATGCCATTTCCTCTTCTCTTCTGACTTTGGCAGGTACTTATTCAAAATTTGTTCCGCAAGGGTTTCGGTTCAACTTTGGATTTGATTGTTTTAAACAAAAAAATGTTTTAATCTTCAATTGTGTTGTTGCTTTGACAGGTTTTGGATGTTATTGTGATGACGTGCTTCTATTTTCCTTCACAATACAAGAAGTGGTGAGAAATTAATTGATCTTGAATGAAAGGATGATATCATTTTGACAGCTAAAAAAAAACAAAGCTTTTAGGTGGCTTCTCAGTTTCATGACAGCATTTGCAGATAAAAGTGAAAATAGTATCGAAGTCCTTCTCCGAAGTCAATTCCTTCGAAGTACCCATCAACAATGCTATCTCGCAGATTAGCAACACCGAGACCGACGTCAGCTCGGGAAGTCTTGGAAGCAAACCAGAAGACATAAGGGGTAGCATCTTCTGCTGAGGATGGAATTTCTGCCATTACGGTGCATGCGGCGAGACGATCTTTTATAAGCTCCCTTCAACAAACCGAGCGTTATGCGTACCTACAGGCTGTTGTATGCTGCAATGTTCTCCTTCTTATTGCAACCCACGTGTAGAGGGTTTGATGTAATTAAATAGAGTCTTTAGTATGTATTTGAACAAACATAAATGGATATCAATAATCATGCGAAATGTTCCTCCCTTTGTTTGCCTAGTTATCGGTCTCTGTTTTGAATGTGAATGAGGTGTTGATGGTTAAATCTGAATTATGCATTGTAATTTGATTATCAATATGTACTGCTTCTTGTTAATTCTTAGCATTAATCCGTTGCATCTGAAGTTTGGATTAAGGTTTGAATTTTTAACAAAGGAACAAAGTCGAATTCTCATGAGTTTTCCAAGTTTGATTCACGGTTCTTCTATCCAAACACCAAAGCCAAAATTCTCATAACCCACCAACCTGTAATCCTTCTCTCATAACCCCTCCTCATGAATAAAAACAAAGCTCCTTGCACTAAGTCCGGTTTAATATTCACAACTAAAGAATTTGGATGACGATGAACCCGACGTACAAATTATAAAGATATAATCCAATAACATCACTCTTTTTGAGGTCTTTGAGAAACTCCGAGTAAAATGACCGGTAGAAAGAACCTTAGGGCCTTCTGGACCAAAGTCTATTGGCCTGGCCTTGAGATACTTAAATGTAAAGACGATCACTATCTATGCTTTAAAAAAAGTACATGCACCAGCCGTTTAGTTATAATAACAACACAAAGGATAAGATGCAAATAAAATAAAACAAGGAGGTGGAATTTTAAGGTCCAAAGTTAGGGTGCGACAGGGTTCTAGAAGTGGACCTCGATCCAACCGAAAAACTATTGTGTGAAAAATCAACTCTCTTTTGAAAAGTTCTGTTAGGTTCTTAGTAGCAATATGTGACCTTATACCAATCTCGATCCATTAGATTTGTTCGGAAAATAAATGATAGACAATAATATACACAAAAATGGGGGATTATTAACGGAAAACCAACTAATCAAGCCAATAAGTGCCAATTATTCACACTCAAAATCAGTATATTTTAGCACTTATCAAAGATGTTACATGAAAGTAATGAGGATGATGAACATTATCACTGCCATTTAAACATGGGACTCGACGGGAAAATTCTTAAATGATCCTTGGTGGTTTGATAGGTATAAAAAGTATTACCTTTGAGGAAGGAAGGGGAGACAAAAAGATATCCAAACAAGCCACATTAAATCCCTATTGTGTCTGTGATCTCTCTTGATCCGTTTTAGGAACAATATCCAAAGGTGTTTTTTAGGAACATTTGGCGCCCACCGTGGGACCTTGTTAAAACTTTCCCAGACCGCAAAAAAAATCATATATACAATGTCGAGTTCATCTCCTAGAAATATTGAACCTTGCATTCCACCAAACATGGCGAACCTTTTGACAATCATGGAGAATTTGCGCCAGCAGAATGAGTCCTTGCAAGAAAGTGTTCACACATCTTACCAATCGCATAGCACTGGAGATGAGGAAGTAGAAGAGGAACTCTTGGACCCTTAGCCTCTTTCAGAAGCAATTCGGGGAAATCTAGTCCCAGAGGATTTCAAGCCACCATCATTGCCATCCTTTGGTGGCTAGAGCGATCGACAAAAACATATAATTTCAATTAATAATCAAATGGTAGTAGTTGAGCCTTCTGACTCTTTGAAGTGAAAACTTATTTCAGGAACATTCAAGTATGTGGCTTTACGTTTATATATGCACTTACCTAGATTTTCAATCATCGGTTACCAGGATCTAACAAGGAATATGGTACATGTAACACCCCAAATTTATTGGAATATTTATTTAATTTATTTAAATATGAATATTCGTATTTTTGGTGATTTTCGGGGGTTGGTGTGAATATTGAGAATTATGGATTTTGAGTTATTTATTTAAATAATAGTACATAATATGAATATATTGGTATTATTATTAACTTAAATAAATATAAGTGAATTGAGGGCAAAGTGGACTTTTGAGGAAGAGTTAGTGAGGGTGAAATTGGAAAGCCCATTTTAAGGCCCAAAGTTAGGTTTAACAAAAATTAATTTTGAGGGGATTAGGATTCATTCTTGTTAGACCGTGAAAAGGGAAAAATAGAGGCCAGAGCTCTGAGGAAGAGGATTGGGGCAAAAGCTTCGCGAGGTTTCCAAGAATCAATGAGAAATGCTTAGAGTCGACAATTAAGGTATGGGGAGTATTGCCTTCATTGTTTTCAATATGTGATTCAATATGTTTAAAGTTGATTTAAGGGTTTAGGGATTTTTGGGTATTGGATTGTTGTTGCCTTTCTAGTGATGAGTTCAATGAGTTTGAGGGATTTGAACTGATGTTCTGATAGGTTTGAGGTTAATTTGAGAGTAAGGGAAATTAGGCCTTCGTGGCCAAATCTGTTGTTGAGGTTGTTTAACCGTATAGGGTAAGTGATTTGTGAGAACTTTAATGATTGTGGGTTAGTTGTAAGAAATTATGAGAATTGGAGGCGTAAATGTGATACGGGATTGGCCTAATAAGTCGTAGATTTTGTGTCTTTATCGCCGTAATACCTTAGGAATAATTTAGGGATGTTTTGGGGGCATTGGGGAAGGAAATCGTAGGGACTCTTGGGATGGTTTTGCTACTGGTGCATAACAGCGATTTGCTGTAATCGCGAGTTCGCACAGCGAAGAATCCTTCACATGGTAAACATTCTCCCCAGACTCGCACAACGAACTTGCTAGCGAACGTAGCAGAGTTTTGCGAATTCTGATCTTGTGCAGTGATGTTTTGATGTTTTAATGTTGTGATTTCTTTGATGAATTACCATGAGTATGACTATGATTCTTCTGAGATTAATACATGATTGTATGATTATTCCTATGAGTAATTTGGACTGACTTTAGTACTGGTGCGTAACAGCGATTTGCTATAATCGCGAGTTCGTACAGCAAACGAATCATTTGCACGACGAACATTCTCTCTAGATTCACACAGCGAACTTGCCAGCGAATGTAGCAGAGTTTCGCGAATTATGTTCTAGTTCGGTGATGTCTTGATGTTTTGATGATGTGATTTTCCTGATGAATTACTATGAGTATAATTGTGATTCCTATGTGATTAAATGAATGTATGATGAATTACTATGAGTATAGCTGTGACTCCTATGTGATTAATAAATGACCGTATGATGAGTACCCATGAGTATAATTGTGATTCTTATGAGATTAATGCATGATTGCATGATGAATCCCCGAGGGACTGTGATGATTTGTGACGTTGATTCCAGGAGGTTTTGATGATTCTATGATGACGTGATTCTTATGATTATTTTGATGAATGATGATGCACCTAATGAGATTATTATGAGGATGATATTAACGTGTGCATCATGCATTCATATGCATTCCGAACTTCGATTTAGGACCTTGATTCTTGTGGCTTCAGTCTCATTGTGTGGATGTGAGGTATTTTGTTGTGCCCCGGTTCTCGTGTAGAATCAATCCTACTGTTGTGGATCTATGGAGGGTTGACGGCCCAGTGTCCATCAAATTTTGTTGATTGGTATCACATGCATGAATCTTGTTGCATTTGCATTTATGTGACAATTTGGTGTAATTTATAATGTTATAGCCTTTGATGTTCCTTGATGATTATGATGATGTTGAATATGAAAATGACGTTGTTTTATATATTGATTTCTACATTGATTATTATGAATCGTTTTACTCATCCTGCCTGTTTGAATGTTGCCTCCACGTGGGTAACGCACAGATGACCAGGTTTAGTCGTGGATTCCGTTGAGGACTTTTTGAAGTTTTTGGGTCGTTGGCCATTGTGGTTGACTTAGAGGGTCTTGCTCTGATAGTGTAGCATCGGGTTGGGGTCTTTTGAGTTGAACCATATTTTATTGATTATTGTTATTTTGATTAAGTTTCTGTGCAAGGAAAACTTTGGATTTTTTCCTTTTGAGTTCCGCTGCCTTTTGAGTAATTTTGGGA